AAGGTACACTCGGCCCTAAAGCAAAACATCGATTAGAAGTAATGTTACGGAAATTGACCTATGAGAGAGGCGCTATAACAAAGGCAATGACCTTTTCCATTGATCATTCTTACGCTGCTGATGAGGTAAAATCTGTTACAAATATTTTATATATTCCTAACAACTACTATTAATTAAATATATTACTTAAAATGTAGATAGTGGATATAATCTGTAAAACTACTTGTTGTTAAAAGTTGTCCGACTATATTTGTTATCAGATATTCTACATAATAGTAGTGTTTCAGTGCCGAATGCCTGGAAATTTAGAACAATGTACGTATATATATTGTATTTGAATATATTGTTTATCTTTTAGTACATCAAAATGTAATCACAACTAAATATTTATTTATATCTTGCATTAGTTTTGAAAGTAGGAAAATATTTGAACATTTGAATGTAAATGATAGCACGAAAATCATAGAAATACAAATAGAAAGTTGATTTTCTATTTATTAATGAGTATATTTTTAAAGAATTAATGTTTTACCAAGTTTGTGTATATTTCAACTTAAAGAGCTATGTCGAAATATTTAGTTAATAAACAAAAAAATGTTTTTTTTTTTAGAAATTATAACGCATTTAATTTATAAAGATTTAGTGATTACTAAAAGTTATTATAGATATTACTTTTCTGTCTTTTTTTTCATACTATATTGCAAAGTGTTTTTTACATGTATATTTTCTTTTTATAGTTTATTATCTAATTTTTATTTATTTTTATACTTTCTTGCTATATGAGAAACTATTATTAGTTTAATAATAGTTTATTGTATAGACAAGAGTCATGATAGATTGTGATGTTTGTTTAAATTATTAATATTTTTTTAGAAGATTAAATAATAATGAGAATAGAAAAAATTGTTATAGCAGATTGTATATAGGTATTTATAAGGTAATCAGATAAGTAAATACTTAAAAAATTATAAATTAAATATATAAATTATAGATTATTTTATAATTATATATTTTAATTTATTTTAATTATATCAAGATTTAATACAAATAAAATATAGTCAGATTTTTTTAAATGCAATGTAACAAGACTATATGTAAAAAGTTAGCAAAATATAAATTTAGAAAGGTATTGTATTTAGGAAGGTAAAAATCTATAGGTGTAATATAAGTTAGATTCAAGAGAAAACATATATTTAGAAAGGTTTTTTATAAGTATGTACTTAGGGAAGTAGTATTTAAAGAGGTTTAATTATATTAATATAATTTGCTAAAAGATTAAAAAAAAAATATTAATATAATAATAATAATTATAAATTATATTTTTTAAATACAAAATACTAATTTTAATAAATTATTAATACTATTTTTAATAGATAGAAAAATAATTAATTTATATACTATTCTTAATAGAGTTTTAAAAAAAGTTTTCTAAAATATTTATTACTATTACAGGCAGTATAATTTAGCCTTTTTAATATATTTTCTATAACAAAGATATAGCTATCTAGAAATTTTAAAAAGTAATATCAAAGAGGAAGATATAATTCTTTTATTATTAAAGAATTATATTTAACTCTAAAGAGATATTTTATATATGTTTATTTTTTTTTTTTTATTAAGGCTATCTCTTTGATCGATTAGATTTATTAATTTGTTATTATGAAATTACTAAAATAGTAATCTTCTAAAGTTTTACAATTACATATTGAGTATATAACAAGCTATTAGTCATTATCTAATTTAAATAGTTCACTATACAAATGATCAACTATCTGTTAGTTTTATATTATACTGCTATATCTGCAACTCACTTATGAATTATCTATTTAAATACTCTGATTATTAACCTTTCCTCTTATTCCAAATTAACATTACTACTATATCTAATCATTTAAGCTAGCTAACTTACCTATAGATCTATTTATATATGATTTAGATCCTCTCAAAATATATTTGCTTAATATATTATAAGCTATAGAGCTCTAGTTAATTTTAAAAGTAAATTCTACCAGAGATATTATATGCATATTTCATAGATTTATCTAAATTATATTCTTGTTGATATTCATATAAACCTAGTTTCTACTATAGCTTTCTATTAGATCAGTCTTCTAAGATTTTAGTCAGATATTTTATGAAATAGATTTTTCTAATTTAGTTAGCTACTAAGTCAAGTTGATATTATTGCTAATGCAAAGTACTAATTTGTATTATATAATGAACTACATATCTACTTGATCTATATCTTTTATATATAGATTTCTTTACTAGATTGAGCATTAACTATTAAAATCTATACTACTTTACTATACTTAGGATTTCTACTATACAAGTCCTTTATCTGTAGATTCTATTAAGATTTATTTATATAATATAATACAAATATTATATCATACTTTTAATATCTAATTGATATTAGTACAATATAATTTATAGAGTTATAACTCCCAAAAACAGACAGAGTTTACTATAAGTTGAGTACAAAGATTCAAATAATAATTCAAATTTATTAATAGTAGAATTTGAATCTTAGACTTTTTATATAGCAGTTTGATAACCTAACTACTATACTAAGATTATCAGACCTTTCATATATGTTTATTATTAACAATATATTTATTAAAAATAGATATGTTTAGAAAAAAATATATGAGTAGTTATTATTATATAACTATAGAGAAAGAGATTTAAGCTTTATTTATTATTTAGAAGAAGAGAAATTCAGAGAACTAAACTATAAAACTAAAAGAAAGTTGAAATCTAAACAACTTAAGGATAAGAAGAAAAAAACTACTTATATTTATAACTTTTAGCAAGTATCATATAAGTATTAGCAAAATGTTATATAAGTATCTTATACAAATATTATTTAAGTATTTGTGTAATTAATAGTTAAATATTATCTATTAATAGTTTGATATAGTAAGAAATATAGACTTAGCATAGTTTGGCATAGTTCAGTACAAACTTTTAGTATAGTCTAATATAGTATTAGTATAGTATTTGATATAGTTTTAGCATAGTATTTGGCAAAGTATTTAGTACAGTTTAGCATAATATTTATTATAGTTTAGTATAGTTTAGCATAGTATTTTCTAATTGTAGCTTATATTTTCTTTAGATATTATATAATAACTTTAGATATAATTTATATTATTATGTAGCGAATATTTTTGACTACAAAGTTACTTAAAAGTATTTTATACTATAAATACTTCTTGAGAAATTTTATTTAGAAGTAAATATTTATAATAAATTTCTATACCATAAAATATCTATACTAAAATAATACAAATATAAGAAATTCTACAAAAAACTAAGTATATATTAATTAAACTTAATATATAGAGCAAGCTTTAGCAAACTTCACAACTATAAAAACTAAATATATAATAAATATTTCTATAGAAAAATCTTATACAATTTCAGTAATTATCTTTTCATTATAAACTTTTTTTTTTTTTTAATAATTGTACTTTATACATTTATTAAACAAAAGAGTTATAGATAACTAGTCTACATTAGATTTAACTAAACAAGAATCTGTAGTTCTTCTTTTATATATCTAATTTTTTAATAGAAAGCACTGCTCAATATTTTATTTATATATATATTCAAATATGACCTGTTGCACTAAAAACCTCCTTAACATAAAGAAAAAGAGAAGTCTAGACAATATAGTCTGACTATTTAGGAAATTAGATATTGATAAAAATATAATAAAATTGTTATATATAGTAAAAAGCAAAGCTATATACTATATATAATATTTAAAGCAAAGTTAGAAAACTTGCTAACAAGTTAAAAACCTAACTAGCTAAAAGAAAAAGAGCAAAATAAAAATAAAAACAAAAAAGAAAATAAAAGATGTTCTATAAGAATTATAATCTAAATATATAATCTTGTTCAAAACTAAGTAGATAATAATTATAAATGCAAAATGTACTTGTTTGCAAATATCTCTAATATTCGAGAATGATTTAGTTATATTATCAAATATATAATAATCTATTATATTATAGTAAATTCATAGTTTATATTATAAAATAAAATTATATGTTTGTTATGCTAACTTCAAAATATATATAGGAGCTCATTAGTAGAAAAAAAGTAAAAAGTTTCTAAGTAAAAGTTTTTTAAACTTTAAATTAAAATATTTTAACAACTACTAAACTAAATTTAATAAATTTTTTTTTATTTTAATTCTATTTAAATATAGAATTAAAATAAAAAAAAATTTATTAAATTTAATTTAATAGTTGTTAAGATATTTTAGTTTAAATTTTTAAAAAAAGTTACTAAAAACTTTTTACTCCTTTTCTACTGACGAGCTCCTATATATGTTTGTTATTGTTATATTATAAGCCTACTTTCAAATTCATCAATAATATATATACTAATCTTTAGTAGGAAGTAAACTCTATTCTTTACTTTTTGTATAAAAAATACTTTAAGTTTACTAAATAGTTAAAACTATTCCTAAGACTAGCTAAAAGTTTAGAAGTGAGAAAAAGAATATCTAAAATAAACTTGAAAAGTATAAGAAGTGGTATTATATTTAACTCTATTCAAGTATTTTCTTTAACTTTTATATCTAAGAAGCTTGTTTTCAATAATAAGATATATAAAATATATATAAAATATATAATATATATAATATATAAAAGTGTTAATAATAGGTTTAGTGATCTTAGTATAGTAGTTAGATTGTCAAACCACTATGTAAGAGGTCTGAGATTCAAATCCTACTGTTGAAAAATTTGAATAATTACTCAGACTTCTGTATTCAACTTACAGTAAACTCTGTTCATTTCTGAGTTAGGTGTGAGTAAGTCTGTTTCACAAAGAGAATTGGTAATACCAATCTGACTTAGTAGCTAACTGAATTTGGGAGGATCTACTTCGTGAAATATCCTGAAAGATTAGCAAACAATATTAGTAGAGAGTCACAAAAGAAACTAAGATTGCACAAATATCACAAAGATCTAAACTAGATAAATCCATGAAATAGGTATAGACCACTCTAGTAGATATACTTTAAAGGTTAACTAGCTCTGCAGATACCACAATATATTGAGTATAGTGTAATCTGAAATGACCTAAGCTAGGTTAGGTAAATAGATCTATAACAAGCTAGCTGACATAAGCAGTTAGATGTTATAGTTATGTTAGTTAGTTCTAGTATTGGTTAGTTGAACAAAGTATTTAAATAGGTAACTCACAAGTAGGTTAC